GAGAGAATGAGTGGATTTCACGAAACCATTGTTTTAATAAAGGTGAAATTTTCGAAGTCGTTCACATCCATTTCTTCCTATGCATCTTTTTTGAGGTTTCTGCTTCTGAATTGTTTCTCCAATTTTATGACGACATTCAATTGCTGTTCATTTTCTAGGTAAATCGAGAATTTTCTAGTCTTTATCTACTGCAAGCTCCAACACTTTATACAAGTAACACTTGGGATACCCAGCTTCCCAAAAATTATGTTTACTTAGATTTATTTGTTTAATACATATTTGATGCACGATGATGCGCCACTACAAAAAGAAGAAAAGTCAAAAAATGAAGTCATCTACTATGCAGCACTAATGTTCAAAAAAGGAAAAACGAACAAAAAAGGAAAGTACTGGTGGATGAGGTAGATCGACATATCCAGATTTGTTCCAGTATTTACATCTTCCCTTGCAAATCCGGATTTACGGTGTTAAAGTGTTTTTTCGAAGATTATTTATAACTTACGCGCGAAGCTGAGTCAAAACAATCTTTATCTCCACCTTTAAGGATTGTTCAATAAAAAGATTGATTGCCTGAGTTGGTAACTCTCTTGTCTTAGCAGCTTCCAGCGGCCCTTTGGGTACATCTCGCAGTAATGGCTTCAATGAGTTCATTATATTGAGCTGTTCCGAAAGTAATGTCGTTTTTTTCGAATGAACGCCACATTTCGTGGAACAAAAATCGCTAAGAACTTTTGGCAGCTTTTGATGGAGCATTTCATCCTCTTTCTAATAGTCATAATATCGTTGCAGCAGAATCAGTAAGTTCTAAGTTCTCGAAAATTTACCAGATTCTGCGACATATGCATTTTGAGATGGTCAAGTTTTACAGTCTGAACTTTTATATCAACCCTTCGAAGAAGTCCAAGTAACGAATCGATTAAGCAAACCTTGTAGGATACACTACAACTTTTTTCTCTTTTTTATACTCCGCCATAATTGTTTAAAGAGACTTTTTACTAAAACCATCGGATTTGACAGGCCTACATCAGCCATAATCGCATCAAACACCATGCTTCGAAATAATCTTCCAAGATGATTTAATACTGATTTTGAAAAACATATGAGAGTTTACGGATTCGTAATATCACATCTCGAGTTTTCTAGGTTTAATCTGGGGCGCTTTCAAAACCATGATTATATATCCTCGAAGACTCCACGAATCGGATTGCACGTATGGAAATTGGCAGCATAAGTTAAAATTAAATTAAAAAGTATGACGCTGTATGGAAAAGAGCAAAAAATTGTTCCGAATTCTATAAGGTTTGATCTATAAATATGATACTTGAACTCCTTCAAAGGATTGATAAAAAGGTTTAGAAAAATTGTGAAACTTGACCATTTTGAAAAACATGGATCGCAGATTTTGGTGATTTTCCGAAAGCTCATTGACTATGCTGCAATGATTTTATAGCCATCAGACTAGTGAACCATAATTAAAGGTGCTAGATTTCATCGGCGCGCTTCGGGACCGCACCGCGGTTTCCCCCTATTTGCAGATTTTTGAATGGCGCTTACGTTTTTTGATATATTGTACAGGAGAGCGAAATGCAAGACATCTTAGAAATCATTGCTCCACGAAATGTGGCGTTCATTTGAAAAAAAGCGACACTACTTTCGGAACGACTCAATTGAAGTTATTGCCTGCTTTTTATTACGGCGAAATTACGAAAGGAACTCCTGTACTTATCTCTGTATTTCTTGCTGAAAATTCTTTTCTTCCTTAGCGCCATTTTTTTCTGAAAGAAATTTTTATATGAGCTTTCACACATATTTCAATACAACACAGCCTGAAATAGGCAGGATAACTTCATTTATAGTTCGTCTTCGTTTCTTAAAAAAAATTCTAAAATAATTCTAAGAAAACTGATCTCAGCAGCCCGTGGTGATATTTGAATCCTTGCGTCTTACGGCCGTAACTCACTCATCTTGAATATTCAGTAGGCAATCGGCAAGATCGAGAGATGACTTTTTGCTGGATTTAGAAGTTTCCCACCTTGTGTGACTTTGAACTTTCAAATAATGATTTTATGAATTGTGAGTGCTCGGAATTGTGATAAAACTTGCGCGAAAAAAAATTGAAACAATTTTTATTAAATTCTTGCCATGATCTTCGTTGCATTGAATGAAAAGGAGATGTGTGGATAAAAATTGTCGAGAAGCTTGCGCATTTTAATTGGCATATCCTTTGAGCGCAGCTAAATTAGCGCTTGTAGTAAATGCGCCAATCAAACGAACAAAACACTGTGACGTTGCTTAGCAATAATTTTATAGATTTTTTACTTAAAATAAGGTTAGTTTTCTCCTTATTGTAGTTTTACTTTTTGTTAGCTATTGAATCATCACAGATAAAGCCTGAAAGCCATAGTTGGAGCGTTATGGATTTCAGTCAACTGCATGAGGTGCGTTTTCTTAAGGTATTTTTCTTTTCCTATTTAATTTGCTAAAACCAAAAAAAAATTTTGCATTTAACGACGGAGAATCTTTGTTTCAATCCATCAAAAAAAGGGTCAAGAAGAGCTTCAAAAAAAAGTAAAATTAAAGCAATTTTTCATCCTTATCTCTTTTGCCCCAATTTTATACCTCATTCCCTATCCCAATACAGCTTTCCACATCCTCCAGGCTTTTCAAATACATTTCCAAAAAAAGGTGCTTGTTTGTTTCTATGGATTTTTAGAAAAAAAACCCCAAGTCTCTTTGTCGCCATTGAAATATCGTAAAACAAAAAGATATAAAATATAAATTTGTGTAAAAATTCTTGCTGTAGCTACAAATTCTTATATGACGCATAAGACTACTTTTACTCCATAATACTTTAGGCAATAATTTCTCATAGGCATAATTCTTTTCGAAAAAAAGTTTTAGACTCCGCTAATAAATTCATTCTCAAAAATCAAAGGCGCTTGATCGTCTTATGAATTTTTGAAAAAACTAAAGTATTACAATAGTCATATGTACAAACTCCTAAAATTTCCCAGATTCCACATTTCTAATCGATACATAAAAGGCAAATTTTATTTCGTAATATTTCAATAAAAGCGATTTTCTAAGTTCCCTTTTACAAATTATTGTTTTGAGTCAGAAGTTCTGTACATAAATTTAAACAGCTATTTTCGCTAGTTCAAGAGCCTCACGAATCTCAGAAGGAATAAACAATGCTCCTTGACTAGGCACTTCATAAGCAACAACGTTTGTCAATTTTACTAACAAATACAATTTCTTCCCGATTATCCACTTTCGTCATCACCGTATTAATTTTTTTTTCGATTTAAGTATATAAAGAGTTATTTATCCTCTCTAATCACTATGGAACCATTGACTTATTACTTTATTAGGGTTAATATTATCATAAGAACGAAGCCTATGACTATGACGTCTCTTACCCAGGGCCCGGCAGGAGGTGGCATTTCAGAATTTTAAAAACAATATCCCCCTTGAAACCAAAATTTCTTACGACTTTCCCTTTGACCCTATTTTTGACCCCCGTAAGTCCCTGACAAACAGATATACACAAATAATAAGATGGGCGGCCTCAGCGCTTATTATAGAAGTAGTACCTGGCTTTCCTGGTCCAGCCCGGGTCATCGTTTGAGGGGATGGCCAAAAACCACACTCTATCCTTCTCCTTTTGGGCCATATTCTCCACCCTTTTCCTGCAGTATCAATACTGCACTGCAGCCCTATATCTAAGATACTACTCATTTATTAGTCAGCTGCGAAACTTTACAATTCACAATAACAAAAACATAAACCTACACTATACAATTTCAATAACAAAAACATAAACCTACACTATACAACAACAATTTCATAACATTCATTTCATAACAACTTCAACAACTTCAACGGTCAAAACTCTTTTTCCTCTTTATACCATCTCGTTCTCGTATAACTTCTATTCACATAGATGCTACAAACTCCATCTACTTGCAAAGATAGAAAAGCTCTTTCTAAGACATAATTTTGCATCTTTTTCAATATGGCTGCTGAACGAGAAGCTTTAGCGCTACAAAGAAAGCAGCCAGCGAAATTGTGGCAAACGATAGACCAAAAAAAGGGAATGTGCTTCGCGGATCGATCGAAGTTGCTTTGGATGACTCAAAATATGCAAGTTCTCTAAAGGGCATGTGCTAAGAAGTCACCATGAAAGTGGAATGCGGGTTTGATTTGATCCGAAAAAAAAAAGATAACTCGAACGCAACTAACAAGAAAAAGCAAGCACAACAAATGGAACAAGCAATTTTACATTCCTAGTTTGAATTTTTGATAGCATAATCATATTTTCATTGTGCTTCTGGTCTGGACGATCCCTTAGGCCCTCGACATAGTTCACGCGATTTGATCGGTATTATCGGTAAAAGGACATTTGAGAATTTTCACTGCAGACAGATGCTTGAAAACCGAAAAAATGACATACTTGATGAGGTCAACATCGAAAGCATTAGTGAAGCGTTTCGTTGAACTTGCTTCATGAGATAAGTCGTCAGGGAAAGATTTTTGATCTGCTCATCAAAAAAAATGATTGTAAAAATTAACTGCTGGACATGATGAATCGACAAAGTTTTGTCAGAGACGATCGGACATCGGGCCGTGACTTGTGCAAGCTGGCAGAGAGAGCGCACATTTTGGAAAACACTGCACTATCCCCTCCCCTCGAAAAATCTCGGCTTCCGCAGGCCAGCCAGCAACCCGACACTGGCTTCGAAAATGTTGTCAAAAAACATGCTGTCCCATCAGCGTAACGCATCAGCTTCGCTGCTAGGCTAAGAGCGTTTTTGGCCGAGGATATTTGAAACGGCAATCTTAGGAACAACAAAAAAAAAAACAAAAATCACACAAAGATTATGTCTATGAAATCGAGGCAAACAGTCTCGTGAACACTGAGAATGTGGATCAAATCGCGTAAGCTCTGTCAGTAATAAATGATCGTCCAGACCAGGTCTCGCTGATCCACAAGAATATTGGAGGCAATAAAGGAAAACACACAAAGAAAAAACAAAAAAGTACAAATGTGATGTACAAAAACGAATGCAAAAATTCGATGTAATATAACATATTTGCATAAATGCACCATTCCACCTACCTGAGATAGTCCGAATGAGCCTCAAATTGGTGGACTTAGTGCGAGGTGCTGTAGTCGAAAATTCTGACATGCATGTCATCTGAGCCGGTAACAATGCAGTTTTTGCGTGAAATAAACTTGGCAGCGCGCACTGGCAAATCACATATCTGAAGAATGCGCAAGATACTGGATTGAAACATAGTAAGCAACATAAGGCCCCAGCCAGACTTCAGTTGAACAGCCCAAAACCGCTCAAAAACACCGAAGGCCCCTTTTCACGAGAGATGAGCTATCTTGAGCGGAGTCTGGCCGGGGCCTAACATACAAAAATACATGAAAATTCAAAAAAAAAATAAACCTACTTTGAAAGACTTCAGAAGCAGCTGACTCTCGTAATTCCAAATCTGAACACTTCCACTGTGAAGAGCTGCCAATAGCCACGTTTTGAAGGTCCACCGATTTAACTCGACTTGTCAAAAACATTTCCTCAACTTTTGATGACAGCATGCCTACAACAACCAGTATATAAAGGAAAACGAAGAAAACAAACGACTCAAAAGAGCGAAAGTACGGAGAAATCGACCATATTGCGAAAACTGAAGAAACACGATTACAAAAACAACTGTTTGCATAGGATATCACGACGAAATATGATCTCTGGCCCTTCTGAGCCCTTGTAGGGCTTGTCGAAGAAGCAATCTATTCAGAAATCGTGAAGATTGCTTCAATCAGCGATCACCAATTCAGAAAAGTCACATTCTCGAAGTTTCCGCGTCGTCTGTGCAAGGTGCACCGATCGCGATTGGAGCGCGCTTTCCGAGGTCGATCATAACGCTGTGAACCCTATTTGGGGCTGTATCTAAGCGGTGCCTTGGTGGTTTTGGAAGCGGATTTGAACATGTAGTAATACTCTCGACCTAGTCCACATTTATGTAAAGAAATCCGGGAAATTATGTGAAGGGAAGCAGGGAGCCACCCCAGGTGGCTCCCAGGTGGCGCGGGAGCCACCTAATTTCGAAAAACACTTACCGTTTTTATAATTCACATAAGTTTTTCATAATTTTTCATACTTTTTTTGTGCTCATGGTCCTCCAACTATACAGCAAATTTGGTGCCTTATCGTTACTTGTGCATTGAAAACAAGCCTATCTTGTTGTTTTCCTCTTACAAGAATTGCGATTTGAATTCCCGCCTGCGGGAAGGCTAGCGATCGGAGCACAGAATCTTCACATTGCTGTAATCTAAGTTCATAGAGCAGTAGCATCAACAAGGAATGATGAATAAAGAATGATATGTGCATTGTTTATCGGTAAACAAAAGGGAAGTCGTATTTTGGGATCCGGGGCTCCGCCCCGGACCCCAAAATACGACTTCCCCTTTGCTTTTTCGGGCCAAAAACGATATCCAGCTTGTGAAAACGCCACCCCCGCCGGGCCCTGCTCTTACCCTCACGATACAAATAAAGAAGCGCTTTTTTAAAAGAGGTACAATCTGTTGATCCTGTAGCAAAAGTTTCGCAAAGTTGTAAGCTAACGTATTTAAGAAGGAAGTTTAGCTGCAGAAATTATCATTCATTCTACGACTGGGAGACGCGGGACCGCAATGCACACATTCTCTAAACAAGCTTAATCGTGTACTTAGCAGGTTAATACTTGTCATTTATCTCGTCCAGGTTTATTCACACTTTGAAAACAGGGAAGAACAAACCCAAACATGGTAAGACGATGTCCGCAATGCGGTCAAGCGTCTCCTAGTCATAGAATAGATGATATCTGTAACGCCTAGGTTGTAAGAATTTGTCCCATTTATATGATGAAGTTTTTTGCGAAAGTTACCTTCGTTACTCAACTAATTCAGATGCGGTAAAGTAATAATTGAGGATTCGGTCCAACAGTTTTGTCAATTTTTTCGAATCCTAAGGCAATACGGTAGGATCAGGGCTCCGCACAGGTGGCTTCTAAGCAGGCTACACAAAGCAAAGCGGGTTTCGTTTTTAAGAAAAGACACAAAATTTGCGACGTTTTTTTCGTCGACGTTTTGTTTTTTGGAGATTTTTCAGGGACTATGGTCTAGTGTCAAACGGAACCTCGTAAAAATTCACAAAAGTCAAGGAAAACTTCTTTTTTTACATTTTCATCTAGCCACCTCGTGCAGAGACCCGGGTAGGATAGAGATAAGCGGACCATTTAAACTGGATCTGATGTAGAATTCATTTCTCTTTGCAACTGCTGTAATCTCAGTGCGATTTGTTGAGAGATTGCTAAGATAACCATTCAAAATCACAACCTTCGTTTTCGCAATGTCCAAATTTCACTAATTTTCAAAAAAAAAACTTATCTGGGACTTTTGGAAGAGCCAGCAGGTGGAACAAACCTTGTAGAAGCACTTCCTGGTTCTTTTCAGTTCTTTTTCTAGAATTTCACTAAATAACTTTCCAGAACTCTCGTATTTTGAAAAAGTCGCATAAGCTGTTATTGCACCAATTACTGAAAAATCTTCGCAGTATTGAGTGCCTAACACTGATTTATTATCAATATTAATTTTACAAAGTGAATGAGCTATTTTGGCATCAAACTATGAATTCTGGAACTTAGGGTACGTCAATGCGCAATGGTGAAATTAAGAAGTACTGCTGTTTTCCCGGCAAATTTCGCGTATCTCGCCAAGAAAAGACAACTGTTAGAAAAACGAGGAGAAGTTGCATTGAATGCTGCCTGGATTACAATGCCACCCACATAACTTGCAAAATTTCCATGAATGTCGCGAAATTCCAAAAATTCGCAGAATTCTCGAACTTTGGCGAAATTATGTGTGTGGTATTGTATTTACCATTTCTTGTTCTACGAGATTAGAGTAAGCCAAGTATAAAATTTGGTTACTTCAAAAAATAAATTCTAGAAATTTTGAAGAGACAAACCACGGATCTACACAAAAAATTGCATCGATTGGCAAAAGATTTGCTCTGTCTGCTGGTTGCCGAAGCTCCCCCCAAAAGTTTCGTATAAGAATTCTGAAATTTGGCGATGAATGGGCATGGTGAAAAGAAGGATTGTAACTTCCAGCGATCATCTCAGCCTCTCAACTAAAAACATTGGAAATATAGCATGTGGGAAGAGAAAGAAATTCTGCATCGGACAATTTGGAATGTTTGTTTATCTTTACTGCATGGGATTTAGGGGTGTTTATAAAAACTGACAAAATTTTTGGACCTAGTCAAAATATGTAGATTTAGCAACAGAATTCTTCTAGAATTTTTCTCGGTTCACTTTCCAATCTTGCTATACCCAATATCGTTTACCCCTCTATGAAACTCCGTTGAATCAGCTCACATGACTTTGAACTGATGCTATTAACTATTTTATTAGACCTTGTTAGTATTTTCTAGGAGCGTTAGTACAGAAGCTGTACCTGATCACGCTATTCGTGCATAAGGTGATTTACAGTGGCATCAGTTATCTTGAGTTATTCAAAGTTATTCGTCTGCCCAAAATTGTTTGTCTGGCTGCTATCGAGGAACTGAAAAAAATTACCCGAATAACGAATTTTCTACAAATCTTGATCTAACTTCACTCGCTTTTCTTTTGTTTAAATCTCCTAATTATTGTAATGTGAAAATAATCCCAAAAAGATTTCGCATTTGATCAAAGCTTTTTCATAATTTCTCGGGGAAGGAAGAAGGAGGAAGAAAAAAATGCTCATTTAGTGCCACTTCTAATCTCTCGTTTCCCATACTACTGCGACTTCACAAGAATAATTCATGAAAGGATTTCGTTGTCGAAGGAAGGAGTCGAAAATTTACATTTCAAGCAGTTAGATGTTGATTTTTGATTTTTAGAGCTTTCTTTGTCAAAAATGCGTCATGGCCCCTTTCTCCAAGGCTCAAAGGGCCACAAAATTTTTCGAGAGAATTTTTGGATGAAGAAAGTCCCTAGCAAAAAAAGCTTTGCGCTGTTTCCAATAGATTATGCTCTTCGTGGGCTAATGCTTGCGATAATTCGCATAAGCATCGACATCTGCCAACTCCCATATGGAGTTATTCTTTAGTTTATTGCATCGCAATTTGCCAGATGCGTTTTTTCTGAAATTTCGCGTCAGTGCACATACCACATCTTCTAAATAAAGCCTGCAATCTACTAATTGCAGGTTTTGGTGATGAAAAGAATGGCGAGGATGTTTAGAAGCTGTAATTTCAAAGCTCTTCAAGCTGTCTAGAGAGGCGAGCATTTCGGGCTCGTTGAACGGCGCTAATGGTCCCGCCCCTTGTAGACAATTTTTTTCAATTTTCACTGCTGTTGTCTCTACGAATCAACACACATCACGATGATGTAGTACACTTTCGGAAATCATTTTTTGAGATATAAAAAAATCACGGCGTTCAAATTGTTGGTTTGTACTTTTCGCTGGGCTTATACAGCATTAGAAGCATATTGTACTATTCCCCAGAACATTCCATACAAATTTTTTTAACCATAATGCCAGATCTAAAATTTCTTTCTCCTTAGGAATCAAAATTTTCAGAATTAATAATCTTAGCTTGACTTCCAGTTTGGTTGCTGCGTCCTCGTTTGTGTTTTTGGATACTTCATCCAAACCATATTTTTTACTTTGAGAATTTTCAAATGCGGGGTAAAAGTTTACGAGTTATGGTAATATAACCCAAATTTGAGCTTCAAAGGCTTATGAGCAAATATACTGCTTCTGACTAGATGCATACGATTGCGGGCTTGCATGATTCTTTTCACTTTTTATTTTTGGACGCAAAAATTCAACCGCATACACAATGTTTCAAAATTCGGATTTAAGTTGCTTATCATTTGGTGTTTTTTGTCTGCGTTTACAGGGAAGAAAAATTGATTTTTAACAATTCACAAAAATGCGTTGAGCTTACTTGCTTAAAATAATTGTCTACTCCCTGCTATTTTTTAGCTTTATTCAATAATTGATTTGTTCTGACGCACCTTAACAGTTTGAAAATGAGTAAATTAGAGTGAATAAGTCATCTAGCTGATGAAAGAAAAAGAAATTTGGGTTTGTTTTTTAGCATAACTATACGCTTCATTGCTAGTAAATTTCACTTTCAAAAATGTGCATTTCTGATTTTTCTGATTTTTTCACAGTTGCTGGAATGCTGTTCTCTTCTTGCCGGATGCTATTTTTAGCTTTATTTAATATTTTATTTGTTCTGACGTTCCTTCTCAGTTTAACGAATGAATAGCGTCAACTCACTGGGAAAAACTAAAAACTAGAATTTTCTGGAAGAATGTTTTATTGAATAGTTTTTTATCGACCAAGATTTTGTCCTTTCTTGGAGATCTTGAGTTTTTTTGAGTTAAAGGAATTTAGGTTTTTTTTCGGTTTTTTCTTGTTTTGGAAAAATAGTCTTAGATCCATCTTAGATAATAAAACCCTCGCAAATTTTTCCTTATCAGGAACAATATTGCAAAACACAAAAATACGTTTCATTCTGAATGCTACGACCTTTGAGAATGTTTTGCACTCTGAGAGCTGCTACATATCTTGAAAAAGAAAATGACAGCTCGGGATGAGTGCAATAGAACTTTTGTGTCAGAGCAATATGTATCTTCTTGAACATTTAATTAAGCGAAGATCCAAAGATGTCCAAGAAGCTACGATAACATGGAGATATCTAATAACAGATACTCATTTCTTCAAACTCTACTTCCTGCTGAAGCTTCTCACTCACTGCTCCTTTATCCCTCTGAATCCCCAAGCGCATTGAAATCGCTTGTTGTTTATACATGCTCATTCATATAAGCAGACTGTTTAAGTCTTCCCTTCACTGACAGTCATTGACTAAGTTTTTAAGCATATATCTATTTATCGTTCATTCGTTGACCGTACGGACTGCCGACCGCGTGGCGACTGCGACGCGTGCCTTCTAAACTTGCGAAAAAGTGACAAGTTGGATCGTGGCTTAAGATAAGAAGAATTCTTTGTTTCTTTTCTACATTATAAAGATGAGAAGAATCCTCTGTTTTCTTTCTATTCATCTTTTCTACGAAAACATCATCAACGCGCAGCGGTCGCCACGCGGTCAGCAGTCGTTACGGTCAACGAATAAACAATACTTTTCACCTCGTCTGAGTCACACTACCGTATACCTACCGTACAGGTGATGTCTCGCATCACATCTCGTCTTGATGCAGCTGATATTATGGAGCTGAAAAATCTGCTCAAGCAGGAGAATGGCACCCGGATGTTAGAAGAGCTGAGACGAAATCTACTGGAGCTGTTGAAAACAAAGGTGTGTGAGACTTTTTTTCATCTTGCCTGTTTGAAAAATACATGTGCATTAAAAATGCCGCAGGTGATTTAGGGGCGACTGTTATGAAAAACATTTTCAAAGATATTTGATCTTAATTTCAGCTTTTAAGGCGTTCTAATATAAATTTAGAATGTCCTCATCAATACCGTCACGTCATTTGGACTAAACTGTATTGCACACCATGCGCACTACTTGACGACTTATAGGATTAGATCATGCTCACTTCCAGTGTACTCTCCGTGTTACATTGTCTGTTTTTGGTCTACAATTTGTTACACTAAAAAAGCCTAACAAAGGAGTTATTAGTAAGGGTGTCGCTGGATGTAGCGCTTATTGTGCAGACTCACATATTAATTTACAAATTACTCAAGGAAAAATCTGCCAATAGTTAAAACTTTTTGTGCATTTTTCCACTTAGAATTTGAATTTGTATGACCGCGCGATGGCTTGCGTATCGCTCCGCCTCTGCAATTTGTGCAATTTGCGGCACAGTAGTTATGATCGATAAAATCGACAAACATCAAGGTATCCTACTGGTATGCAATGAGTTCGAAAAAAAAGCTAGTCAGCAATTTGGTCTAAAATAGCGACTATTTTCTTTTTTCAATATAAGTTCTGTAGCTGCCGAATCTCAAGTAGGTCGGTGAAGCGCAAACTGCGGCAGGCTTATAGTTTTTTTTCAAAAATTGGTGTGTTTTGTTTCCAAAATTATGAACACTTTTGCTTCTCCAATATGAAAAACTTATACTGGTTCCAATATGGAAAGCTTATACTTTTAAGATGAATGATTTTGAATATTGATTTTGTATCCCTCTTTTCATCATTGTGGCAAAAAGACCATATCTTTCTATTGCGACAATTCCCAACTTTTCTCGCTAATATAATTTTTATGAGCTGGGTTAAGTAAACTACCCTTTTTTTTCTAAACCGGCTCTTTCCCAAGAATATCGCTTTCTTCTTTCCCACACTTCTTTATTGTTTTCTTAGTACAACGTCCAATAACATTATCGCTCTGAAGTATTATTTTCCGTTGGTCTTGCTCAAGCGGACATTAATTATTAATGCACGCTCGTCATGCTAACGACATGCAACAGAGCGATTTCATCAAAGGGGAGCCACATCATTGAGGTCCGGGGCGGAGGCGGGGGGGGGGGGGGAAATAGTGGAAAGAAAGGTAGGAAAAGGTAGTTCTGCGCAGAGCAACAGCAGTATATTCAAAAAAAGATTTTTAGGAGCCTAAGATATCTTTTTGAATATTTTGGAATTTGCGTCTGAATAAATCCTGCTCGAGCCAAGTTTTGTTAAAAGTTCTCAAGTCCCAATATTTTGCATTGTAACTCCTTTTCTATGCATAGTTTATTAGAGAGCAGATGAAATGACGAAAGCGCAATGAACTTACCAGGTGGAAAGTCGCGTGACTACTAATTGGAGTTCCCTGTCCTATGAATCAGTAAGGTTCCAATTTCAACCTAAATTGGACTGAAACAAACTCTATTTAGTAGAAATTGTTTATTTATAATTATTAACTTCTTTGTCGTCCGTCGCGAAGATCTACATCCGGCACGGACATCTAACGAAGCGGTGGTTCCCTGGCCTCTGATGAAGACGAAAGCGTCTAAACGTAGGGCCGAAGAGTACTGACAATAAAAGGACCACCTAACAACCTGTTCGGCACAACAATATTCGACACTATTAACTTCTTTATCTTTTCGCTAAGACCAAACAGCAAATAGCAAGAGGCTGTCTTGAAAAGAGAGGCATCCTTCTCGAGTTTTAGCATCAGCAAAAAAAATCAGCGATTGCTTTTATGTATTATACTCTGTGGTCACTATAGGTTGACCCAATGGGAGGATCATAAGACAATTTTGGGGAAAGATCCAATTTTTTGAGTTACAAAATAGTCTGAAGTTTGACTTCAAACATTGAGCAGATCATGAGTTATAAGTGTGGATAATTATCTTGTGCAGCTTGCTTTTGATCTAATAAGTAAGTTCTGCTCTGTTGTCTAAAAAGAATTTTCAATTCGTAGCAGGCGAATTTTATCACTTCGCGAATAATTTATTGCTCTTTTGGTATCAAATTTTAGTGCTAAGGAGGTAATTTTGGGTACCTGGACTCCTCATCTGGAATTGTTTGAAAGCCTTACCAAGCTTTAGGATAAGCGTCAGCTCGTATAGTTCATGACCACTAAATTCACTTGCAAACTGTCGCCCAGACCGTACTTTTTGCCTTGAGGGCGCTGATTGGTCGGCTCAGAAAGACTACAACGCTGTGCGAGATTTTAGAGCTAATCTTCTCCATCAGGGATAATTTGAGTTAAGCAACTATTAACCGCTCAGTTACTTTTTACATTAAAAAAATCCGGGCATATAGGAGTTCAAGCTATTGAGACTTTAACTACCGCTGTCCAGCCTACCAAATAGACTCAAAATTATCTGTCCATGCTGAAACTTCACTACGCTACATCAAACATGAGTACTAATTGGCCTACACGCTTAAAAGCTTGTTGCCATAGCTCGCTGATGCAAGCTAATGTCTGTGTTTGCGTCAAATACACAGAATTTAGTCAGGTGATTGATAATTTGCAACCGAAGATCGTAAACTTGATGAAACTTTACTGAGAACGAGGGATGTGTAATGGGGACGTCGAGCTCGCACTGAACAGAAATAATAAAAATTTTATCAAGTTTTTCAAGGGTAGCACAAGATATACTTTTGAAAATGGCCCATATCTTTAGTAGTAGCAGTACAATACCGCTCACAGAACGTGCAAAATTTCCGTAAATTCCGCGGAATTTCAGTCGAGGTCTTCCGCGCAAGTCCTCGACTTTCCCGGAATTCCGCGACATCCACTGAGATTTTGCACATTCTGTGAGCGATAATAATACTAAACCAATACTTCGCTTTATTCTACGACTTCATCCCTAAGTGGAATAGAGAGGAAAATAGATTGTAATTCAAAAAGAAGATTTTCTTCAGTCCGAATATTTTGGAGAATTTTTGTATGTTTGATGCGTCTACCAATCAAGTAACTTACAAATTTTTCTCTATGCTTTTGCTTCATCCCCAACAGATGTGCAGATTACTTAAGAAAAATTTGTTTGGTTTCGCAAATTGTCAGAATATTTTAGTCACTAATTCCTTTGTTCCCTGTTGGGAACAATTTTTCTATTTTTTATGTTCAAGGTGTAAAAGGCAGTTGTTGATGGGATACCTTACAAATGGAAATTCGCCCTAGGAATAACCTGCAAATTTTTGTTTCATTTTTCGTACAACGCTAGAAGATCCTGGCACCAGGATTTCCGTTTGAGGGAAGGAGAGGGGCAGGGCTACAAAAAAAATTTTTAATGTAGATGTGGCGTAAGGCACGCCCTCCGAAAAAATATCTGGTATACCTCCCAAAATTCTGCCTCTGATCTATATTTTTGCGGCCACTGAACCACGCCCCAAAAAAATTTTTACAAGGCTAAATTGAATTACAAAACTTTAACAAAACTATTTACAAAACTTGAAAAATTATTTTGATTACTTACAAATCTGAAAAAGTCACTTGCACTTATTTATAACTCATGTAAGATTTAAAAATTTTGCGACCACGTTCTTGCCCCCCCCCCTCTCGGTAAGCCACTGCGTGGCACTTTTGGCAAAATTACCGAAAATACTTATAAATCATGCCAATTTATCAAGCTTGACTTAGAAGGACAATATTCCGCACCCTATAGCCCCAAAATGTTGAAAACTTCCGCAATACGGAAGGTTGAGCAGAGACACTTCTGTGCCCCTTAATTTTTTTCAAAATCAAAATTCAGCATATTATTTTTAGATTCAAAGAACGATAAGAAAACTATTCTAACTAAAGGAACTAACTTCTAATTTGAAAATGCATACGTAATATTACATCCATATGAGCAGTAATTCACAATGACAATGTTCCAACTTATTGTTAACGCTTTCCATCAGCTGCATGAAACTTTTCTAATATCAAACTTTTTACTTTCTCCATACCTAAAATGGTTCTAACTAGAATTACTATTCATATTTTATCCACAGACCTATTTATTGCATTGTTTTGACAGTACCCTCGCATGAAAACAATATTTTGGATCTATCGAGCGCAGATACGTAAGAATCGGATTTTAGAGTTAAGACAAAGATAAAAATGGATTTGAACGAAGGATAATCTTGGATTTGTGCAGAAAAACTTCGAGCACATACGCTGTTCTAGAATGACTGAATATTTTTTGCCTAAATTGAATTAAGAACTTTTTGCGTACATTAAATTAAGGGCTATCATCATTAGGGAATTGACGATTCTAATGCATTATTAGCATTTTTTTTCTGCTAAAACTTCCCTCCATTCATGTGACGAATTCACTTTGATTAGGGCTATTGCCGTAAATTTAATCACAAGACCTCTATTCACTACTTTGCTTTGCCCACATAAAGTTATATATTTTTCGCTTCAAAAGTCAAAACTTAGAGAATTTTTTTTTCTTGATTTTTTTACGTAAATTATTGGCGTTAATTCTGTTCTTAAAAAGAGTTTTCTTTCTAAATTGTCCTAAATTGGATAAGACATCTTGCGGAAATCTTAATATTTGATACTGATACGATTTTAATTGTTTATTCGCTTTAATTACATTGAAAGCTCATAAAGCTTTTGAGAAAGCTTCAGTTGCTTTGTCCATGTTTGAAAGAGTTTTATTCATTAAACTTCTCTTTAAGTTGGTAGTCAATCATAATCTGTTTGTGTTTTCATTTTTTTTATTTTTTGTGCGCCTTATTTTCTAGTTAAAGTAAATTAGAGTAAAGTAAAGTAAGTCTTTGCAGTGCAAATTTCACTCCAAATAAAGATCCACGATTTCACTCTAAGCATCTTGCCCTTAGAAGCTAATAAACCCTAAACTCAAAATTTTCCCATACTGATTTTTCCAGCCCCTTTTCCATGGCGAAATTAATTTTCTTGATGACTTTTACCA